CTGGTTCTGTGAATATGGCTCGAAAGTCCCCTCCATTTTCAACCATTATTGTGCTGTCACGGTATATTAAGTATAAAACAGTCTGCCAGACCAGCCACTATGGTAAAGGTTTGTCTGTTTTTAGAGTCGAGACCTATATTATTCTCAGACAACTTCTTTGGCAGTTGCAAAGACTGATTCACTTGGGAGCTAATGCATAATTGAAGGGATTTTCCAGAAGTAAATTGCTTTTGTGTCTGAAATATACAAATTTTCTTCCCTTTAGTGATGTTATGGAAGTGTGGAGCCATTTTCTCCTTCTGAATTAATGACACAGAGCCACTTCATTAGCATGGCTTTGACATTTCCATCAAAAGCCAGCGAAGATTTTTAACCGCTCAAATCAATACAGACAGCCCACACAGCGAGTCCTCTCTAGTGGGAAATGCTCCAGGCAGCCATCACCCTGGAAAGTATTTAAATGGAGATCACATGTTGTTTAGGCATGCACTGCTGAAAGTCCTTTTGGCTGGTGACTGATGCAACTGAGACAGAAAGATGTTTGTTGCCAGGTTGGAAGATGGATCTGAAGTCTACTAGCAGTACCATTCAACACCTCTGCTTCTCCCAGAATGCACTCTGGGGTCAGCACTAGTGCCACTCTGTCAGCACATTGAAATCCAGGGACACTTATTCTGATGTTTTCAAACTGCATCAAGCTGAAGCACAGACATTGAGTTTTAATGGACCATTTTGTTAATTTACTGAGTCTTTAAAGAGCCGTATGTGTGTCCAATCATTAGCATAGAAAAATAGAGGAGCCCAATTGGCTCTGAATAGATTAGTTTAAAATAATTTCTGACTGGATTTGGCTGGTTTAAACTTTAAAGGTTAATCTAACTGGTCCACCAACATATGGGTCGATGACATGACACAGTTTTTTTTTTCTTTTTGGGTGTGTTCATTAATGACTACATTAAAATGCAATTCATACATAAATTGAAAAATATACAACCGTTGAAAATTTGGGCTCGGTAAGTTTTATTTGAGATGTTTTTAATGGGAGACACTGCAGGCAAAAACATTCATGTTTTTTCTTGCACCTTGTCAAGTTTGAGATTTTGGGCTTTTTTCAGACTAGTGGAAAGAAAACATCCAAAAGACACTGTTAAGTGTTTCTTTTTATAGCACTTTTTCTATTTGTGTCAATAGATTTCAATTACAATACATATTTAAAGGCCATTTTCTCAAAATTATTTTTTTCTCCTACACTGAGCCATAAATCTCCACTTCAGTAGCACTTACACAAACCAAACATTAAATTTTTATTCCTGTCTGTATCCTGAATGTTTTTACAGAGGGATTTGTTCATATATAATTTGTTTGATTATATACAACATTTTATTCCCCCCAAAATTGTGAAAATATACTGTTTTCTGTCCGTTCTCAGAGCATTTTCTGCATTTTCTGAATTATGGAGTGACAAAAATGAGATACCCAAAATTCCCTCTGTAAAAACTTTTGACTCTTAATATGTAAAAAAAATTCAACAAGAATTGACATCATCCATTGTTTAGATTTTTTGTACTAGAAATGTATGCAAATTAGCGCATATTTATTTAAATAATGACTAATTTGCCTATTTAAACATAACATTTTAGAAACTTGTAATACAAAAAATGTTTGCAATTATCAATGTAATCAATCAGCTGGGTAAGTAAGGCGATAACTATTAGTTCTTGTTTTTTTTACCCTATTCACCTGCTGTGTCTCAAGAACTCTGATTTTATTTGATATTGAGAATCGTTATTTAAACTAGCCATTTTTTTTGTATTTTTAAAATTGATCTGAATCATTCAGAAATCATTTAAATATGCTGATTTTTCTGCATTTTCTGAATTATGGAGTGACAAAAATGAGATACCCAAAATTCCCTCTGTAAAAACTTTTGACTCTTAATATGTAAAAAAAAATTCAACAAGAATTTTGAAACTGACATCATCCATTGTTTAGATTTTTTGTACTAGAAATGTATGCAAATTAGCGCATATTTATTTAAATAATGACTAATTTGCCTATTTAAACATAACATTTTAGAAACTTGTAATACAAAAAATGTTTGCAATTATCAATGTAATCAATCAGCTGGGTAAGTAAGGCGATAACTATTAGTTCTTGTTTTTTTTACCCTATTCACCTGCTGTGTCTCAAGAACTCTGATTTTATTTGATATTGAGAATCGTTATTTAAACTAGCCATTTTTTTTGTATTTTTAAAATTGATCTGAATCATTCAGAAATCATTTAAATATGCTGATTTTTTTATTAGCAATGTTGAAAACAGTTGTGCTGCTTTGTTTGTGGAAATTGTGATCATTTTTTAAAGGGGTCATGAAGTGTATTTTTTATTTTATAATGTTCTCTGAGGTGCACTTATATTGTTAGTGTCATTTTACATAAAAACGTCATCATTTAGAAGTAATAGGCTATTTTATATCCTGTTTTTGAGCTTCTCTGTAGAATGGTCTGTTTTTATAGAGACAGAGCGACAATCATCATAAGTTTCATCAAATCATTATTGCATACTGTTTTATAATTTACTACAATATCGAGGTGCAGATAATTGCCGCTATTTGCAATAAGTAGTATAAACAGCAGAAAATCCTGCTATTTTATCATAGTGTAAATGGAATCTATAGCTATTTGCACTTGGTGTAAATAGCATATCGCTAAGCAAATACTGCTATTTGCCTCTATCGCTATTTACACTTAGCTGCCATTGATTTTTGATTCAATTTATTATTGTTTATTTTGATTTTTGATATTTAATCTTTTTAAATGTTTTATTTAATGTGTGTAATTTTAGTTTGTATTTTTCTATTTTGACCCCTATAGTAGGCGTTTTTCCCCCCATAATATTTGGGGGAGGGGGCACAACAGTACAATTTTGCTTAGGGTACCTATTTAACCAGCAGCGGCCCTGCCTGTATCCACTTTTGTCTCTTTAAAGGCTGGCCTTTACGGTACGGTAGCTTATAAAACCGTAGTTCTGGGTTTTTTAGCTTGTTTGCTGTACACCTTGTCACACATCAGCTTTTAGGCATTGTTCTGTTTTTTGTTAAAAGTCAGAAATGACAAGGAGGCAGCTTCCCACAATACAAAGTGAATGGAGAGGGTTGGATTGTTTAAGAATATTGTAGTTAAAATGCTTTATTATATGCTTAATTGCTTATTAACATTTGTATTATTATATTCTTCATATGAAATCAACATGAATTATAAAATGAGTACAATTATACACTCTAAAAAATACTGGGTTAAATATAACCCAGCGCTGGGTTACTTTTAACCCAGCATTTTTTAGAGTGTAAGAACTTGGCAGAGTTTTATATATAAAGATTTTAGTCATATACTTCATACCAAGGGCATATTACTTTATATCACGGGCACTCCTATTTGTCATTGACCCTTAACAATGATGTTAACTGGCAAATTAGCCTTACAGCCGTGGTCTTTTATTGAAGCATATTGCCCATGCTGGAGACCTCAACATACGCTGATGACTAGCCGAACAGGTTAACTCTAAAAGCAGGCTGATCAATCATGCAGAGGCCAGCTGAGTCATTATAGTGGACTCTATCCAGTCTTAACCTCACTGGCCAACCAAAATATATGCGATGAAATAGTGCAGAACGGCTCTAGCAGTCTAGTGGTATGTGCGGCATTTCCCAGAATGTGCAGGGAGCGCTCTGCCAAGCAGTATGCCCGGATCAGTGGGATTCATGCCTGTTCGCTTGGTTCCTAAAGGAACGTTCAGGTTCTTCAGCATCAGCAGTTTACTGATGCCAAATGTGCCATTAAAGCTGAGGAGCCATCATTCAGTGAGAACAAGTACATGGATGTTTCTTTACTTCTAATTTTTGAAAAGCAGACAGCACAGAGGTTATCATTGGACATGACTTTGATTATTTATACTTTCTCTATTTAAAATATTAATCTGGAGCACTAACTAGAGTAAACATCACAGCAGGCTTTCAGTTATTGGAGTTGAATGAATGTGTCTATTTTGTGAAGGTTCCTATTGACGTCAAAAGGATGAAAAACCCAGATCAGATTCCTGTGGCTTCTGTATGTCTTTGTCGTTCCTCTTTTCTGTGAGGAACTATTGTCTATTGTTGCTCATGGAATGAATTTGACTCAGTTGAGCCAGCGTTTCGAACAAGACCAACGTTTTTAAGGCATCTTTTGCAGAGAAACGCGTGTGTCCCATGAGTCAGTCAGCTATGGGTTATTGCGTTACTGTAACCATTCTGACCATCTAAATTCATAGATTTACAGTAATTATTCAAAGATTTGGTTGAATCAAAGCAAATGTGAGAATTACAGATTAGCATCCACAAATGTGGACATAAAGAAAAGGTTTGTTGACTCCAGAGCACATCTTTGATAGGATTGTGTATCTGAATACAGAGAAAAAGCGTCCCTACTCAGGAAGGAAGTGCTCTCCAAATGAGGTCATTCATCAGGGGCCGACAACACATGGACATCTGCCTTCCAGTCCTGTCCACAAAAACCAACTCGGTGTGCCGCTGCAACATCTGGCCAAAGTTAAAACATCACCCATGTCCTTTCCAGCACTTTAGGAGGACCTCAGGAAGGAAGAAAATTTTAATTGCAGCTTTTAATTACATCATTAAAAAAAAAAATATATATATATATATATTCTCTCTCTTTATTTATTCCTTCTCTTTCTAGCTTGTACTTATTTGAACAATGTCTAAAAACTTGGTATTACAAGCTTTTCCTGTGTCTGTTTGCCTCTTTAAGAAGAATCGCTTTATGTATCCCCCAACTGAAAGTCGCTTTGGATAAAAGTGACTGCTAAATGACTAAATGTAAATGTAATGTCATCATGGCGTGTGTCTTATGTAAGGCAGCGCTGTTGTGTGTGTGCACTGTTCACCCATATCTGTATGTTTATGTGTGTTTGAGCTGTTTATTTGACCCTGTCTGATCTTACAGCTGGCTGGCAAGGGGAGGGACGGCAGACATGGCCGAAGCTGAGGATGAGAGCAGGAACAGCAGCCTGCCGAGAAAGAAACCACCCTGGCTCAGACTGGACATCCCCATTGCCCCAAACCCTGTGGAGGAACATAATAACTTTCTCCAGGTGGATATTTGATGATACATTTTTGCTCAAGATATTTTGTATTACTTTGAATCACTTGTGTTTCCATGAAATAAAAAAAAACATTTAAATATTTCACTTTTCACCTGTCCTTCAGCCCGTCATGTGTAACAGCTTGTACCTGCGGAGTGCCAGTGTACCCACTGAAAACA